CAGAGAGAGTGCTTTATGACTGCCATGTTGAACATACCTGACATACTCTGTGTTTCTGCACATGATGAATTAGCACAGTCAAATATTCACAAACAGCTGAAAGCTCGTACTGGTAACTGAGTTATGTGGAAAACGTGTGTGTGTCAGTGCTGCATGTTTGTTGGAAGGAAAGTTCATTTCCTCTTGTGGGTGTGCCAAAGATTGCATTTAGAAAGCATTCAAAGCTATTATGTGAAAGAGGGGATTCAAATTACAAGATTGAATTCTTTTTTTCCCCAGCCTTTAGCAAACTTTTTTTGTAAACTGGAAGAATTCAATTCTTTTGAGGGACTATTTACACTCATTAGGGAGTATTAAAGTAATAACAGTTTCAGGCATATGTGAGTTAGCCTTAAAATAAACTACAGTGCTACCATTTGTCTGTACATAGTAATAAAGAGACATGTCACCAAGTGCAAAAGTGTGGAGCATAGGTGCATTATTGGTCTTTTCATGGAATTTAATGACCACAAGAAAAGTCTCTAATTACCAGACACATCATTTAAAAACATTAGATACTCTTATGAATTAGTAGCAGGGTTGGGTATGACTTATCATGCAGACAAGAACCAACCCAACAACAAAACACATTTAAACTTTCCAAAAATAAAGAAAGGTAGGAGCATAGAGTTCAGTTGGACTGATGATATCTACAAATCCCTTACTGCTGTGTCTTCTCCTGCTCTCCGTACAGCCAGCCGTCTTTCTCTTCCTGGATGAGCAGTGTGATGATGTCGCCTTCGCCGAAGCTGAGGAGTGTGGGGTTGTTGCCCGCCGTGTGGGGAAAGATGGTCCTGACTCTGTGCTTCCTGCCCACGTTGAGACCAGAGGACTGAGATGTAGACCTGGACAGGCTGCCCTCTCCAAGACTGCCCTGGTCTGCACACAGCACATGATTACAAAAACAGATATTAGTTGTAAATCAAAAGATATACAGTCAAAGATAATCCATCCATATTCTTTATTTTCTAGATGTGACAATATAAAGCTAGCTAAATGTCTTATCTATGAAGTAAAATCAAGTTTCAGTTAGCTTAGCTTAGCTAAAAGACTGGTAACAGAGGGAAACAGCTGGCCTGGTTCTTTCCACATTTTCTTTTACGATCACTGTTTAATATGTATCCTGTTTCTTGTTAAATATGTACCAAACTGAAATGTAACATTGACAGCAAAACTGAGATTTGATGTGCTAATCTGTGAGCTTAAAAGATGTTGGCAGGGAGATTTTGTTATGCTTGGATAGAGCCATGCTAGCTGTTTCCCTTGTTTTCAGTCTTTATGCTATGTATTCGAGAGTGAAGACACATGTTTCTGAAACATTTTCTTTAAAAACCAACACATAATCTTAGGCAGCAGTACCCCTACTTTGACGAGAATACAAAGAATTAAATTACTGAAATGTCAAACGTATTTTATGCTAAGCTGTCAAAAATCAATCTTGATAATATTATTGTTTCGTTAATGAAATGTGACAATAGACTGGTATGATGTAGTTTATGAAATATATATAATGGAATGGATCACTTTTTCTCTGAAGCTTCAGAAAAATACATTTCAGGACCTCTGGATTAAATGGGTATCCTATGTCTCCCCTAAACTCCCTTCTTTTGTTTAATCTGGTTTTACTTTAGTTATGAAACCCTGTATGCTTCGTTTTTGTAGTTGTTGTGGAAAATCACCCCATGTCTTACAATTTGTCTTTTTATTTGATTTGTTCGGTTCTATTTCTATTATTGTTATTTTATTTTTTCCTATTTGATTTATTTTGTTCTGTATAAATTTACAAAAATGTGACAAGAGGAATCACTCTATTGTCTAACTACAAATGAACAATATGTACAAATGTCTGTGAATGTGTGATTCTAAATAAAATAAATAAAAAGAAAATAAATGTGACAATAACACTGAGCGATAGTGATGTATGTTTGTGTTTCAGAGGAGCTGTCTGTACCTGAGTTGTGGTCTGAAGAGGAGGTGAGGGGAGATCTGGGCTCTGGGTTGAACATGTTGGCGAGTGGACTGATTTGTGCCTTCAGTGGCGGTGCAGGTGGAGGACCCATTGGCTCCACATTGTTCTGAAAACATAAAGCCCCTAAATGTGAGTTTGCTCGAACAAAATCATTTTTGCCTGAATGATGAGGGTAACGATCTTATCAAGGGGATGAATTCTAAACCTTCATGAGCTGAAGCTTATTGTCGACCTCCTACACAGCGATAAATAACCACGGCAAAATAAATCAGTAGATAGCAACAAGAGCACAAAGAGGATTTCCAATGGCTGATAGCCAGATAAACAAACACTTCACAGACAGCAGTCCCCATCAGATACATCAGCACCCGTTGCAAGATTAACTACAAACAACGAGACAAGATTAAAGCCTCCAGGGCAGTCTTTCCTAAAGGATTTCCACTTATTCAGTTCTATGAATGCTTTTATCCTAAACATCTTAGCAAGATATGAAAGTTGAGAAGCAACACAAAGTGAAAGATAAGATAACTAAACGCTCTTTATATCATGTATCCCCATTACTCAGACTAGCTTATTACTCACCCTGTTGTAGCGTTCGACCTGCGGCGATTGTTCTGGAGTGGTAGACAGCTCCTCTATCATGGTCATCACCGTGTCCGGCACCTTTGTGATGTCGCTGCACTTTTCCTGCCAGCTGGGGATCTTCACCGCTAGAGTCTCTTTGGCCTGGAAACGCCAGGAGGAAAAAAAAAAAAAAGGATAAAAGAGTTGATATTCTAAAAGGATCTGACAATGCAGGAATCTCTAAATGTTCACCTTCTCGTAGAAGTTGCTGGTTTGATAGGAGAACATGCAGTGTTTGTCGGCCAGGAAGCAGAAGCGCCTCTTTTCTTCCAGTAAAGCTTCTTTGCATCCGTCAGAGATGAACTTCTGCATGTCCATCTGTCGCGATGAGATGGTTTCCATATACTGCACACAGGGTCACAGGACAACAAAGACGTTAATGTGCAGGAGTGTTTACAAATGAGCAAATCAACATTTTACAGTAGAAAATGTCTGCATGTGACCACAACTTGCTCCAAAAAGAGAACCTGAAAGCTCTGGTTCTCCTTAAGCTCATGAAACGTTAGAACAGGCCTTGATAAAATAATAATAATTATAAAAATAAAATCAAGATTGATTCAAAAATAATCTAAAAACATAAAAAAACATCACATTCCTGTGTCGTACACAAAAATGCAATAAAGTATAAAAAAAATATTAAAAGTGAAAGAATAAATAGACATCACAGGGTAAAAAGGCTTAAATTGAGAATAATATCCAAATTCAAATGAAAGTAAGGAAACTACAAGAAACCATAACATATTTATTTTAAAAATAATACACAGATGATTAAAATAGAATAGAAAATACAAAAATTTAAATGAATAAATAAACAACAATAAGGTATATTTCTTCTTCTTCCTTTATTTTCTCGTTTTTTTTAAACATTTAAAAAATAAAACACCTTGATTTTTTAGTCTGTATTTTGTTTTCAATCAAATTTATGCAGATGTTGTTAGAAGCCAAGCTTTGGCACACACTTAACTTTTATTCAGTGCTCTACTTTATTCACAAACTCTTGTTTTGTGTTTCCTAAAGGACCTTTACTGAGACTTTGGTATTGTCTCGTAAGGCTGATGAAAGCTGTGGGAAATGCTCGCGCTGATCAGTATTTATACAACAGAAAAATCATTTGGACTAAATGTTCTTCTTGCACATTCAGCTCTGCAGTGCACGCAGTGACACAGGCTGCTCTGCAGAGAACCAGAGGAAAGTAACACTGACCTGAGTGGGAAGCAGGTCTAAATGGCATTCTCTCTCTCTCTCTCTTTCTCACTCTCTCTCTTTCTCTCTCTCTCTCCCCAAGTAAAAGCTAACGCAGACACAATAATTAAGACGCTGAAACAAGATGTTTACATGTGTGGGTCAGATCCACTAACCGACATCGTAATGAACTTTGTAATCCATGTCGATGCTCTTGGGGACTACTTTCTGTGGATTTCCTGCTGCCCGTGGATTGATTTTATTGCAGCAGGATACCAAATCAGTTTGCTTAATGAGACACTTTCTCCTCAGGGATATTGTAAAAGTCAAACAGAGCGGATGAACAACCGCTCGTGACATAAAGCATTTTAAACCCTCCATTTTTTTTTTCCTGCCACACACTCACTCCCCTTATCTCTCCTATTTTCCACAGGTTGCCATGGTGACACTAAAGCAGCCTGTCTCCAAAGGACTCTGTAGAAAGACTTTCCTCAACTGTTTGGTCTTATTTTCTCCCTCTCTCTGCCTCCCTCTCTCTGTCTGCCAGACACAGAATGAAGGGTCTTCATTTCCCATTCTTCTCAGCAAACAATCATCCAGGCTTTGAGCGAGATGAGAGAGAGCTTGCGGAACCAGACTGAGCTCATCACTGGCAGCCGTGCACATGATTATGAAAAAGCTGGTAGTAGTCTCCATTGTAGTCGACAGGTGTCAATTTATATCAGATAAGGAAAAAGCTGCTTCGAAGAAAGGAGTAAGGTGCCATTCAAGTGAAAAGACGGACTAATTCAGATGTTATCAGCAGGGATAAAAGAAACCGAGTGCCTTTTAACAGCTCTTTCACCTGCAAACACCTCTTGACTTGTCAATAAAGGGTTTAATGATTCTCTGAAAAAAAAGCCAACATTACAAACGATCATGGCCGTGTCCAAGTAAAGCTGCAAAAACAGTCAAAAAATATATAACAAGAGACAGGAAGGAGTTATTTGAAATCCCTCCCTCATCTGACATTGATATTCAAAACAAGAGTCTGACATATACATGTATCTGTATCTGTAGGCCAATCCCAGTTAACGGTGTATGTATTATTTTCTATAAGCCAATTTAAGAACCTTCTTTCCCACAACATAAAATGTAGAAAACAATGCTTGGATCTATACCATTATGTCAGCATTAAGTGCGTCCAGTAGAGCACTCTCTGAGAACTCTCAGCCCGATCTGTAACACATAAAGCTGAGGATTACAACTGAGCCAAACTTGGAACCCATTGGCTGAAGATATAGCCTCTCATAGAGACGGTTCACTCTCCTGGCTTTCTGATGGAGCCACTGGTTAAACATAAACGACTTCACACTTGTGAAGCTCCCATGTGTTTAGACCATATGGAAGTGAAATTCATCCCTCCAAATGAATAAGTTTGTGAAAATAAACGCCATCATTTCAATGCCTGTTCATATGTTTCTGGTGAGTCAAAATGTCACTATAAATAGTAAGTTACACAGAGGATTCACTCTGACTTACTACAGAAAGCTGGTTAACTTGCGATTAACTTGCCTTACCAGGTCATTAGTTTGTTGAAATCACATCATGGAACAGATTTGGAAAGAGTATCAAGTATAAGATTTGTCGAATCTGTCCCCAAAAGGAGAAGAACACTGTGTTTAAAAGGTTTGTTGACTGGAGGTCAGATCGATAATTTCTGATGCATTCCAGGAAGTCAGGTAATCTAAACACTGATAGGCTTGCATCACACAGCGTCAAGATGATTGTTAGCTCAAGTTGAGATTTTGAATCCGATAGTTGCAGATATCCATTTAGAGGGATAAATAAACTTTTGTTAGATAACAAAGACAACAAAGTCTGCTGACATGCGATTGGTCAATACACCTCAGACTACAAACGGAGACCAGAACGCTTCCCATACTAAAATCTGAACTCTTGGCAACAGATTCTTCATTTGAATGTAGAAACTGTGAATAGAGATTACAGCTAAGCAATAGGGACCTGCACTAGAACAACAACATTTAATAATGTTACATATTGGTGAATTAAGTTACTTGTTTAAGAAAGCAAACGTCTGAGTTTGTTTGCATGGTCATATTAGTGCAAAATTGGAGCACAATGGACAAAAGCAGGAAAATCCACGCAATCTGTGACCATACCAGTAACCAATGATCTCCAAAATCCCTCTTCTGTCAGGCTGTGGACAGAAGGACAGAAACACCAAACATTGTGCAACGAACAGGCTTTTGAAAGCACACTCTTCAACCATTACATTTGGGGTCATTGAACCACATGCAACAAATATACTCAAGCAAGGCCAATGTCAATATCAACTGTAATCACTTCAAAGCCATGTGTGTGTGCTTCTGTTCACTGAGTAGTGGTGTTTGCTTTCGCTCTGGTTTGAGATGCAAAAGATTGAGTCTCTGAAGTTTCTCTAAATCTCCTCCTTGAAAAACCTTAAGACCAGCTCTCTGTGGATCGAGAGATTTCCTCATACTATTTCTAAAAGTTTAAATCATAGCAGAGAAAGTATTTTTCTACATTTACATCGAATATGACCACAGTGTCGATACAGGAGAACTTAATTTGAGTCTGTGTTGCAGATATAATCCTGCAAATATTAAACATGCTCAGTGCACTTTTAAAAAACTGCATGTCCTAGATACCAATACATGATAAATCAAAATTTGGCAACACTGGAAATAACTGAGAAGTACTGATGAGAAGTAAAGATGAATCGCGTGTGCAGTATCCAATACAACCTGAATCCCAGCACAATGTCCCAGTCTGTTTGCCTGTATCAATGTGATCATGCATGCAAATGATTTGCAAATGTGAGTGTGTACAGCATCAATACTGTAAATACACAATTTCTTTCACATCGAGTCAAAATATACATTTCTTGTGCGTGTAAACCAGAGTCACAAGCGTGGTTGCATCTTTGATGGTTAAAGTCCCGTGTCGAACAAAAAAATTTAAAAAGCTGTTTAAAGAATGAAGTCTCTGAATACGCATCTCAAATAACTGTCATCAATAATGCTGAGCTGCTATGTCATTCTAAAGTACGACTTACACAAAAACTCCATGCTCCACACCTCCTTCTTTGTCCTGAGCACCGGTATGTTATAATCACGACAATAATCTTTGCCAAATCTCCCCACCCAGTCACGTAAATTGTACACTTGTCATTTTTCATGAGCATCAGAGCATAAGAATGCAACAACAGAAACCATGCTTGAAAAAGGATGTGAGGATGCGTTTGAGGTCCGTTTTGGTTCCAGTTCTCACCTCATTTTCTTTAATATCATACTTGGATGAGTTCTTCCCCTGACTTTTCCTCCGGAGCTTCTTCAGGTCTGTCTGTGAGCGCTCCAGGGAGTCCTGCTTCAGCTTGTGCTCTGACTGATAGCGCTTGAAGGTGGCCTGTAGAAGTTTGAAAAGCGAGGCAAGAGAAGGGAAGGAACTGATGATCACGACAGTCAAAATATTCCACAGATGCAAAGCAGCTAAATGTATTTCTCTGTTTAAAATTCCTATGTCCAGATGTTTTGATAAAACCCTGGCATCTGTGTTAGCCCACTTCTTTTCTAAAATAGTAGCCTACATTGCAAAGTACATGATACTTTGTCAAACTATTGATTTAGAGCAGAGAAGAAAAAAAAGCAGAGAGCAGGTTATGCCAGCAAACTGTGAGCATTTCTATATGTATGTATTTTTGTTAAAACAATTAAAACGAGTGAAAACAAAAAATAAAGCAATTTCACTCTAAGATAAACCAGTAGGCCTTCATCTCTCCAACACTTTTCAGCAGACACAGGAAGTCAGAAGAGCCCGATGCAAATCTAATGCTTAAGCTAGCTTAGTTTAGGTTAACATTCATTTAGTGTACTAAGCTAGGCACAATAGCTATGTTAGCTATAATATAATAAAAGAGGCTCAGTAGCATTATGTAGTTATAATAAGTAAAATAAGGGATGTCAAAGGGGCTAATACTGAAGTCTAGAGGTCTGTGAATCAGCATTGGGAAATAAAACATTTGGTATCAAAACATCTCTTATTTAGAGTAAGCATAGACAGATATTTTAAGATTCATTCTACTTACATTCATGTATTTAACATCCATCTCTGTCTTCTTCTCGAGCTCGACAACAACCTCTCTGTGGAACCTTTTGAACTGCAGCGAGAAAACACACACACACACACACACACACACACACACACACACACACACACACACACACACACACACACACACACACACACACACACACACACACACACACACACACACACACACACACACACACTGTAGTTCATTGCATCACAAATCATCCTGCCTGCACACTGTTCCTAACACAATGTACAGATCGGGTCACATGGCTCGATGGCAACATTACGATAAGACAGGAGTGACCTTTGAGGAATGTATCTTAATGGGTTTCTGAGAGGAGGTGATTCCACCCATTTGGATAGCTTATCGGCATGTTAATGTTAAAAATTAACAACTTTCCCCTCGCGCAGATACTTTTCAATCAGTCCAGGATATTTCCCAGAGGGAAAATAAGAAATTACAGAATGTTTATCCTGCTGCAAGCAGTTTGTTACTTTCATTGTAGAAAACTGTGCATGTCTGACGCTTGTCTTAAATCAAACTGATTGTTGTGTTTAAACAGGGGACACTTGACTTCAATTAACTTCAAGTTACTCAGGTATCTGAAGCATCTCACCCTGAGGCAGCAGGGTCAGGAGTTTTTTTGGCTTTTTTTTTTTTTTTTTACTCACGTCAAACTTTCTTTCACCTAACGTTACAACACTTTAAAACTTTCTAAAATGAAAAGAATGAGCTCAAAAGGTTGCAAAGGTGAGCAGAAAAGACAATGCGACAAATTGAAAATCTGTCCTGTCTGTCTGAAAGTGAACATGGTCACCATAGGGGACTTCAAGGAATGACCATTTTTCAACTGCTGATGCAAAAAAAACCAAAAAAAATTCAAGACATTGTAACATAGAATTTCTCTTCACATAACTTTTCCTTAATTCTTCTTAAGACATAAAGACTAAAAGAGCTGTGGGTTTCTCTTAGTACTCATCTTCAAAGGCAATAAACTAGTTTTTCAAATGTCAACAAATCCCATGAGACACAAAACCTGCAATGTTTAAGTTGGTCTTTTTTAAAAAAGGAATAGATCACAAAAAAATGCTTTAGTTTTTCTCAAGTAAAATGTCACAGTCAGGTATCCCAACATCCCAACAAAATCCCTCTGAATAAAATTCGGTTTATATGTTGTACCCTACCCTATATAATGGTATCAAAATGTGAATACATTTCTTCACCTGACATTGGTAAATGTGACATTTGTTGAGGACACATTCTAGTGGTGAATTGTGGTCTGTAGTGTAGCTGTATAAACAGGATCAAGTAAATGAACTACAGAATTCATATTAATCTTCATGAAAGCACAATTAAGTCAGCCTGTGTAACAAGGGGCTCATTTATTTCTTTTGTTTTTTAAGGGGGCTGATGACAGAAGAATAAATTACAGATGAAGATAAATGAACCACATTGATCAAGGTTTTGTTTTGACAGTAAGAAAAAAAAAAAGAACAAGGCTACTCACGTTTTCTTCCAGTTCATTATGGACCTTCCTGTGGGCCTCAGCGATCTCCATCAGAACCACACCTTGTAAGAAAATGAAAAAAAAACTACTGTAAGTACATCAGACATTCAAAGAAGCATGTGTTGAATGCATGGACTGTTTTCCTCTTGATGTGGCAAAGTGAAAAAAAAAAAAAAAGTGACAGAGACCTTTACATTTTCAGAAATACATTTACATGCTTTTTTGCTGAGGGTGAGCAGCAATTAGTTGTGATACAAAAACACCAAAACAGAAAGTGATGCAACCGTAAAAAAAACTCATAACATATAGATACACTTAAACATGCTGTTATGAACAATAAGCTGGTTCCTCTTGGTTCGAGACCTTGTGCTAAGCTAAGCTAACTGGCTGCTGGTGGTGCTGTGTTTACATCATGGAGTCCAAGACAATTTTCCCTATGAGGACAGTGCATCGTATTGTATCCTATCATAACCTATTGTATTGTTTTAATGGTATTGTATCATATCACATCATATTGTGTTGTTATATCATATTGTATCATAACCTTTTGTAATGTTTAATAATGTGTTATAGTTTTGATTCCTATGTATCATTTCGTTTCATATCATGTCGTATTGCATTGCACAAAAGTAGCTTTCTCGAAATGCATAAGTATTGCTTCAATGGAAGAAGGTGACAGAAACCAGAAGCCAAAAAAAAGCTGAGTACACAGAAAAGCAGCTGCAGGAGGAGATGCAATTTACAAAGAGATCCAATCAACACTTTCCAAATATCAACATGGTAACCTGTTGTTTTTTTAAATTTTTTGTATCAAGCCTTGCATATACTTTTACAGCCCCAGATTTTACAAGTGACATATCTCCTTTCAATATTTGAACAGCTGTCAATAAGTAATCTCTTTGAAATGTTCTGGTATTGTGCGGTCAGAAACAGAACAGTCTCCATTCACAGACGGGCTACGGCATATGACACAACACAATGGGAGTGAGTCAATACTGTAAACACGAGTGGACAATCATAGCGAAGCAGTTTATTGCATTATACCTCTGTCACAATGAGGTGAAATCTAGACTCAAGGTTCACTATAGGACACACAGTGTTCTGGTGAAACCTGTAAAAGCTGTGTGGCATCACAGTGTGTTTAAGGCTCGCTGTGACAGACACAAACATGTAAGAATTTGAACACCCTCAGAAGAAAGTCAAGAAGTCACTGGTGTAAGGGTTAATTAAGAGTCTTTTAGGAGGGAAAAGCTCCTAAAAAGTTGTCCATGTCAGCGCACTTTAACGCCTGATCGCCCTCCTGCACTCAGAGCACACGAAACGTAATGACCCGCAGACACAAAGCTGAACTTCTGTGATCTGACAGGCAGCGAGCAGCTACAACAACATTGCCCTCTGAAGGTCACCAGAACGTACTGGTAAATGCTGCCTTTGTGCTTGGACGGGGAGGGGTGGTGGTGGTAGTTGCGGGCTTTGGGGAGCTGTTTGTACAGCCCCAACAACACACTGCACAGGGAGTTAGAAGAGGGAGGCTGAGAAATGCAGGGGGGGGGGGGGGGGGTCAAAGAGGCCCTTGTACACCTGCAGGTTTCACCTTTTGGGGTTAACAAGGTGTGAAAGTAAATGCTGCCACAAGTTATCACAGCTTGGTATACAGAGGCTGGATGGTGAATCAGGAATCTGGACATTACAGGATGAAGCGGTGTTAGAGGGCAACACACAGAAAGCCTGCAATTTTAAGTTTGTAGACTTTCTCCACAGAAACAAGGAATGCTGGAATTTGAATCAAAAGTATCTAATAACATAAATGTTTTTGATCCAAGTTCATCACTTTAAAACAGTAACAACATCACACTGTGATGTAGTGAGTAGTAGCTCCTACATTGCATCTTTTGTACATTTTGTATCTTACATTTTTTAATTCTATTTTAAATATTGTAATAGCTTCTTATACTGTATTATTTAAGTTGTTGCTAGTTCTGCTTTATTTCCCTGTTAATTGTTTAACACCAATACACCAATTTAAATTCTGCAGCCAACTCTCAGTTTATCTTATCTCATATCTCTATTTGTCACTGCCCGTGTTCTCTTTTCAAAGGTTTTAAAGAACCTACGTAATCTAATTTTACCACAACTATTTCAAATACACAACACTGTTTCAGCATGGATTTCTACACAGATCAGTACAGGGTTGGTAAAAGATAGCTGCAGACAAACTACACAACCCATGATTCTCAGAAATGTCTTATGGTTCCTTATTGACAAAGCTACCTAAAACCTGAACTTTTCCATGGTGTAAAGTGGTTCAGATATCGTAGCTTAAAACAATTTTATTCATCTTTGTTATCAAGGGTTGAACCTTAATTTGAAAGGAAAATCTATAACCCAACTTTGCAACTGAACATGGGTCACAGTGAAGGAGGAAAACTATGAAACGATCATTCAAAAGCCAGTTTTGTTTTTTTTAACGATAGTGCAAACACTACTCTAGTTAAGATACATAACTGCATGTCTTCATTCCAACACCTGTATCAAACGCTTGTTTTACAAGCAGACAGGACGCAGAGCCATGCCTTCAACATTCTCCACAGGTAATGCCTTTTATGAGCTGGGAGTGCCCTGCGGCAGCACAACCCAAGCCTATGTTTGGTCTAAGATAAGAAAGCTGTACTACATGAGATGATGTCGAAGAAGGCAGCCGACCTGTTGGCACGTTTTCTCCAGTTTGTTTTTATTTCTCCACAATTTAATGGATAATCTGTCCTCTGTTGTGCAAGCTTAGTTGGCACTGGTTATCAGCCATCAGTTATCGTTATATAGCATTGTTTTATCAGTGAGATGCATCACTGGGCTTGTACGCCCAGGTTAGCAGTGATGTGATGTGATGAAGAGCAGTCCCTCATATGTGACTCAGGATTGAATGGTCTATGATGTCACAACCAGTGCTTAATCCACTTAACTTAAGGAGAAGTAATAAGTTAAACTCCCTCCGAACACTTATTTTTACAAATGTAAGTACTTCCAAAGCTCCGGGTCAGCTCATAAATAAACCTCGAGGTGGGACTGGACTGTATGTAAAATGCTGTCTGTGAAACTGAAACTCTATTCTGGAAACGCTGGAAATGAAAATGAATTACAATTCATGACAACAGGGAAAACACTACCTGCTGATGAAGATAATGAAATGGTTTATATGCCTATGATTTGCTATTTTATGGACTTGAAGGTGAGACTGTTAAATTAACAATACCTTAATAAAAGTTAATGGCTTACTTAAGCTTGCATTTACAATTACAAAAGCGACACATACAGACTTGGGCTGCAACCAACTATTAATTAATGAATTACTGAATTCATCTGTGATAGGTGGATTTTTTTAACTTGCCAAGTAAGAACAAATCACACACATTTTCACTCTTGAAAAAGTAGAGGCAGATGAAATTGGGGATTTTTTAAGGATTTTTTTTTTTTTTTTTTTTTTTACAATAGTTTGGATTAAAGGATTCATCATTTATTAAACATGTTACTGATGTGTTGAGGTTGTTGGCTAATAATTTCAGCTTCCTGTGAACAGAAGAATGTGTGTGCTTTGAGCCCTTCACTAATTTAGTGAAGAGTTTATTTCACTAATGATGATCAAAAGTGACCTTTGTTGACTTGTATTTTATTATTGATCCATGTGTCTGTCAGCCTTTCAGCTGCGTTTACTATAGATCAATATCCTGACAGCTTTCTTAACACAGAGTGATGACCTGCCGTGAAACAAAACACAACAAAACGTATGACGAGAACACTTAAAAATGACTTCAGCCTCAAGCATTGACAAACATTGCTTCGACTGAAACTTCAAACTGGAAGCAAACCTTCAATGACCTTAAAAACGTAATATATGCCACATTTGTTCTTTATGTGAAAATAAAAAAAGAACAAGTGAGTCTGGAGATTTCATAGACAGTTATCCCTTTAACCCGTGAAACTATAAAAGCCAATAAATGGAGGGGTCAAAAAGAATCATGGGGACTTTTTAGAACGAACTGAAGTGTGACTGGGTTTTAAGTATTCCAACGTCACAGTTTATTGAGCAGTAAGTGAGTCTCTGGTCACTTTAGAGGTCCCTTGGAGGAAACTCCCAAAATACTGGAGAGCCGTTTGTTTAATGGTGGATGCAGGTGAAGGGTGTTTGAGGTCTGGGATCATTACAGAGCTGTGGAGTGTGACGAGAGGAGTCATAACTGACTGCGCAATATGGGGACTCCCTGTAAAACAACCAGCAGCTTTTTTATTTTGTTTGTTTTCAACAGTCCTGCTTTGGAAAAACAGCCCGTGTCTGTGTTACTGACCTTGTTAAGCCGTGGTCCAGACACATTTATGCCATATTGTTCCGTACTGTTCTATTGTTTTCATAATTAGCTGTAAAGCTATTAGTATTTTTTTTTTAAGAAACACAGTAGTTAAATACTTTTGAAATACTACTCCCTTTCTTTCATGCAGCAAATTTGATAAAAATGATACCACACCCATGTCGTTGTTATGCTATGTGGCTGAAACAAGAGAAAGTTAGCTTAAATTAGCATTTTAACTAGCGATCTCATTTTATGGGATAAGACTTACCTTTTGACAGAAACAGACTTACTGTAGCTATTTTCCCTTACTGCCCTTTTGTTCAGCTAAACTAAGCTAAACTAAGCTAAGCTAAACTAAGCTGTGATAGTCTAAGTCAATCTTTGTGTGTCATGGCTGAAGCCTTCAAAGCAAACTGATTGATGTGGTATCAATCTTCCTACTAAATTCTTGGATGGCGTGAAGCAAGTAAAATAAAACACAGGGAGAAATTCATAATAATGAAGGTGCTTGTACATGCTTTTGTGAACAAGCTTGCTGTTAGCATGTTGTTTCTGTTTGTAGGACAAATTGCCCATAATGTAGGAATGGCACAACACAGAAAAATAAATGCCTCTCTCAATAACTGAAATCTGTTACAGAAGCTATCAGGACACACTCAGCTGTCTCCTCCTGAATCCTCAGTCTATGTGAAGAAAATACCGCTCAGACTGATATTACAATTTCTCTCACGCTGACCATACTTCAATATTTCAAAAAAACAATTTAGTCAAACAGTGCAGAGAAAAGGTGGAAGGGTGGGGATCGTGCTATTCTTGCACACGTAACATTCAGTCCCTCACTACCTGCTGCCTTTCATGGCAACTCCTTGTGGAGTCCAGTCACACAATATTGCACAGGAAGTTTCTTATTGTGCCCCCCCCCACACTGAAAACCACGACTCTGACAGCTGAACTGCCCTCTCTTGCTTTATGCAGAGTTTTAAATAGCTACTGTCTCAACTATTTAAGGACAAATATTGTAACTGTTTTAGAAAGTGAAAACATTGAAATTGACATGGTTTGCAAGTATGATTGTGTTTGAGTATGTGCGTCATTATTTTGTTTTGTGTTTATATTCGTTCTGTTTTTTACTTGCGTTGCTGCTGCTGAGTTGTTCGCTTCATTTTTCTTCCTTTCTTTATTTAGTTACAAAACAAGGCAACATTTTGTTGCATTATTATCAACCGTGCAGGCAGGTAGACCTATAGGACAACATTTGCAAAGTTTGACCTGCCCTACTCTACCTCTGATTGGCTTTCCTTTATTTTTACCCAATCAACAAATAAAGGCGTAAGGAGTAAGGCGGTCATGCTGTAATCATCCTAGGATTTTTTGTTTTTGCATTATACTAAATGATACACATCAGGGAGAATTTAGAAGTTGGTACATGAAGACTATTGTTGTAGTCATGACAACACACTAACCAAGACCAGAGTTTCTCCAAGACCAAGACATTTAGGGAACAAGAGTCAGGACCAAGACCACGGCAGGTCGAGACTGAGACTGAGACACGACTAAGACCATAAATATCAATGAAAAATTATCATCTTGTGTGCATGGGGCACGTCACTCAGTTAGACTGTAACACAAGGAAGTTTGCAGCTGTAACCAGAGGATAAAAATCCAATTATTAATGAATCCAAGTGATTTGTCTTTTTTTTTTTAAATGTTATTCTAATCACAGTAATGGCGTGGAAAAACAGCCTGTCAGTGGTCTTGACTGGTCTTGAATTAATATCCGGAGTCAGCACAGTCCAAGACCAGACCGGGTAGAAATGCTTTTGATTCTGAGACGAGACGGAGACCTTGAAAAAGTGTTGAGACCAAGACCAATTTTGAATACTACAAAACTAGTGGAGACTGAAATATTAGTATACTGGTAGCAAACAGCATAGGTCACTTGAATCATTTGTCTGTCTTCAGGAAGTTCTGATGTTTGGCTCAAAGTCTTTCCTTATTGCTATGCCTCTATCACCTCTATTACAGCATCATTCATAGAAAAAATCTGGACAAACAGTCGTTCCCGGAAAAGAAGCAGCCCGGTATGAAGTAAAAGCCTCAGGTTAACTTTCTGCAAATACCTGCTAACCACTGTGATGCAAGGGCTTTCTACAGAAAACCATTCACAGAGAAAGGAAGAAAATCTCGCAGGTGTCATAACAACACCTAAACGATTTGGCCTTTAATTGTTAAAAATGAATTCTGCAAGCCTCCGCCTACACCAAACACCCCTCTGTCAGATATGGAGTGATTGATTCACATGAGGCAATGCTAGGCAACTGTAAATCTTTAAGAATCATTTACAAGGAGTGTCCGTCTTAATGTCTCTACCATCTGAGATGTCAACTTTTATGGAACTCTTTCAATTGTCTTTTGTTTTATTGTTCTACACCAGTAAAAAAAAGAAACATTCTGTAAAAGCCTCCCTATCCATACAGTTTGAGTCTCCTCTCTGGCCTCCACAAACAGATAGTAAAGACCATGGGTAGGTTTGGATAGGCAGATGGAGTAACAGTGGATGGAGAGGATCAGTGGTGGGAAGACAGTCTCCTCTGTCTGTCTGTTTGTTCAGCGTGTTTGCTACTCTGCTGCCTGTAATGTGTGAGAGAATTCACACTGTCTTGTTGTCGTCTATTCCAAGCAGAGAAGGAATGACAGGGATGGAGGGAATGAGCTGGGAGATCAAGATTTCCATGGGCCTTTTTCCATGAAGTCATTTTGATTTTGGACTTGTGGATACAACATGTCAGTCACTACTTCCTTATTTATCACGTCTAAGAGGTCAATTTCCCTTTCAATTCAATCTATGAGTGAAATATTCCAACTTTGTTTTTCCATAAATGAATACAGCAGCTTGTTCAGATTGAATGCCATAATATGTCTGTGTAACCAAACAGGCTTTGCTTTAGAAATGAAGCAACCAATGCCAAAGCTGCAAGTTTCCCCATGATCATAGGACAAGTTGGCATGGAATCTTGTTCTGGCATTTGTGAGGTTGCTTCAGCTCAGTGTGTTTCAGTATGAAGTAAAAATGTAACCGACTAACTACGAAAGATCATCGTATCATTTAATGAAGCGATGGAGGGTTAACATTGTTCAATGACAGGTGTGGCCCCGACAAAAGGGGGATTTTAATTACAGAATATGGAAATAACTATTTGTAAGGCAAAAAAGCAGCCTGAGGAAAATTATTAATTTATCTTATACGGTTTAGAATCATGAGGAGAAGCTTTGTAATATCTCTCTGATGTCCGATTTGCCCAGTCTATTCTTCATTTGATAACTTTTTAAGAAAAAATAAGACCATACTGTCCACTCTATAAAGTATCCATCGTGGTTTCATTTTCAGACACTGACGCTGCTCAGATGGTGAGCGTTGGCTTTATGCTAACCTCTTTATTCCATTATTTACATTTTCATTAAAGCTTGGAAACATGCCTAATCTTTCTTTTACACTGTGGCAGCTCTGTGACAATCACTTCACCTCGTCTGACTTTACAACAGATTGTGTTAATGACTGGAAAAAATGCAAATGCTGTCTATAGGAAGAAAACTCAGTCAAAAAAAGGTTCATAGAAAATCTATTTCATGAGAGTAAATGAAAGTGTCAATCTTGGTGGTCACGATTTAAATACATAAGACCAAAATAACAAAGCATGATTTTTCAGGTTTAATTCCATGCTCTGTTTCTTTTTTTTTTTCCTGCCTGTCAAATCAGCCTGAGCTGTCATGAAGCCAATTTAAACCCCTATGCATTCTAAAAAAAACAACTTGATGAATTGTAATAGTGCAAAATTGGGTCCCTTAGGCAAAGTAGGTCGGCTCCAAATTTTCAGCACTAATGGAATAATTGGCGATGAGTCACAGGATGGATGAAAAACAACCTGTACATGGTTGATGACAGCTTCAGAGAAGAGACAGAGGAGAGGAAGCACTTCAATCAGGGCCAGATGTACAGCAGATGATAATGAATTTCTGCAGCTGATGTGAATCTGTCAATCAATGGCACTACCAGATGTTTGCATAATTGCACATTTGGGATTATTGTCACATGCAAGCAAAATGTGTCACCATGATTAAGTTGCATAGAAACAGCACTTTGCTGGTGTCCAGCTTCCATTATTTAACGGGATGTTTGGGTGAAAAATCCCATTTTTCATTCTCAATAAAGAATCAATTTAGCATTTTTGGAACGGCACTTTTTGGTTTTCTTTCTCAGATTTTTTCACAAAACTACTCGTCACATGTCTGTACATAACCCATTAGGCTAAAACCAGCAACTAGTGGGTTTAGTTTAGCGTTAGGAGCAAAAAGAGGACAGTTAGCCTGGTATTTATTAAAATGGACAATAACACCTACCACTCACCAGTACCTCTAAAGCTCTAAATCCAACAGGTTAAAGCATTTGTAAGATATTTTTGGGAATAAACAACAACAACAAAAATGTGGGTTTCTACACAGGATTATTTCTTGGCCCGGAAGCAGTGATGTCCTGAAGTCACAGTTTTTGGCAACACAAAATTGAAAATTTGAAATCAGTCACAAAAAAAAAAAAAAGGATTTCATGTGAATGAGTAGTAGTCATCCAGGTTATGCTAGCTCAAAGCCTGATCCAAAGGCAACTGGACTTGGTTGAAGAAGTAAACCAGTAATGCTTACTGACTCAGCATGTATACATTTAACCAATCGGATGGAGGCGATCAGATTAAGCATGGGTTAGCTATCAGCTAACCTCAGATTAATATTTGTCAATTTAGTGCCAAAATAAACTGCGAAGAGATTGATTTGGGATTCAGAAAGGACACGTTGCTAAGACAAATATTGTGTAAAACATGAGCAACAGTACATAGAAAGAAACACTGTGAGGGAAAGCTCATTTGCATAAATATTTGTTTAGTTATCACACCTCATGTCGGTAACACAATACTGAATAACTTAATCGCACATTGCCTAATTTCCCTGAGGTTCTACTCTTTGTTCTTCAAATCGTACTTTTTACATTAAAGTAAAGACGTTCATGACAGATTGTCAAACGATGTCAGTATTTACATTTCAACTGAAATATCCTTGAGGAATCTTAGTCTTTTCTTTCTGCTGCACCATAGAGATATTTGTATATATCAGGCAAACCATCTTGAGATTTGACTAAAGATGGATCTGTATGAAACTCACCAAGCTCTCTGGAGACCGGAGACACCATAGCATTCTCTCCAACCTTTGAGACTGCATCAAAGTAGGCCTTTCCAGCAAGAGTCATCGCTGAGTTCAAAGAGAGACAATCATCAAGTTACTGGCTGGGAGAGGAGGACTTGTTGGATCTTTTGTTGCAGAGAAACTTTTAATGAAACCAAACTTGACTTGTGACTGCGGTAGGCAGGATTCAAAAGTTCATGCTAAAAGATCACAACGTGATATCACTTGTATGTCCTGTGTAAGGGTGAAAGTTGTGTTTACCTGTGACTGATTTCTCATAACTCTTCCCTAGGTTGACCAGGTTCCTCAGGCCCGGGTTGAACTGGTCCATGACGATCTGGGAGAGAGAGCAAAGACTAAAGGTTGTGGAGAAAGGCAGCAAGCACAAACGCTCCTTTGCAGATCTTAATATACAGGTTAACATATTTTTAAGTTACTTCCTTTTTTTTGACAAATCAGGAAACAGCTCTTAATTGTTTAAGGGCTTGCCAGGGATAATATAACTCATGAAGCTATTTTTGTGACAGTGGGTGGAGAAGAGAAAAACAACAAACAAGATCGATATCAGCACGTGAGAACAATAAAACGTTCAATCTTTAACTTGACCCCTCGCGTATGCTTTACGACTCCCTCCAAAGAGCGAAGTCCCACACACAGAATGCAGCTATTTGCAGCATTAGCTTCATCACTCCCCCCCCTTCTCTCCCTCTCTGTCTCCCTGTCTCTCTCTCTCTATTGAAATGCCTCAACAATCAAGTGCTGTTCACCTCCCCGTCTCTATTCCCCAGGCACGCCCTCAATAGAACAATGAAGGGGCAGGTATGACTTTACATGAAGAAAAAAAAGAAGTGGGCAGAGGAGAGAGAAAGAGAAAAAGGGAAACAGGTTCCTTGTTTTCTTTCTTTCTTTCTCTCTCTCTCACTCACTCACTCACACAGCTCATACTGTGACTGTAAGACTTCAGGTATGACTCCCTCTGTCCCTCAAACACAACACACACAATTTGTATAGCTTAACAAGAGAGGAAAACCCAAATTGAAGTATTTTACCAGAATTCTACCATAAAAAAAAATCTCAAAACATGAGTTTATGAAACTTAGAAATTCTCACTATTTTGGAAACTTTTAAGTTTTTTTTATTTATTTTTTTTAAAAACGCCTCACAGAGACATAAATTAATTCAGTAACACACTCGTCTTATCACGTGAGAGGCAATCGTGTTAACTTGATTAGATGAATAGATTTAATCAAACAGCCTGGATATTGATCACTCTAAGTCCACTGACAACCTACAGCAACTTGATTGACGGGACTAACTTTCTTGTGTCTTCTCTCTCTCGTACTGTGGTTTGTTGTGATTTATGCATCTAATAATTAGATAATAGGGTGTGTCATGAATTACGCTTGTAAACAATAACAGAAAGTTTCGATTGCTCAATCAGATGTTTTTTTTATTAGGCTAAGACAGTATGAAAGTACATACTGGGTCATTTCTAAAAAAGCCATAAAACGTGACAATTGCAGTAAAAGCAAAGTACATGTACTCAAAATTGTAAAGTGTTGTTATCACTTTCATTGACAGACATTGACAGAAGTACTCCCTCCTTTAGCCACAATTACAAAGCAGTGAAAACATTCAACAGTTAGCCATGAACTAAGCTCTTTGCTCATTTCACTCACCTTGTATGTGTTTTCAGTGAGCTTGCTCACATCCTCTGGAGCGCGAGACATGGTGGCAGGTTGTTTCCTCAAAGCCAGAAGTCGAAGAAATAATAATAATAAAAAACAACAACCAAAAAGAGAAATAAAGATGGTGTTTTGTAATCCAGGAGTTCGCTCACGCCGAATAATAAATCCCAAAGTCGGTCCTGGTCGTTTGTCTGCCCCCTCACAGCCGGCGGAGGACGCACTGACTGACTGACTGACTGACTGGGACACCGAGAGAGAGAGAGACACCGAGAGAGGGCGCCGTGACGTCATGAGCCGAGTTAAAGTTATTGGAGTTACTGTGTGGTGCAATAAAAAGATACAGAGGATTGTGTTTTATAAACGTTTTATTGTTAAGAGAAAGGTAGAAGGCATAGAAAATGTAATCATTGTGGGTTTAATCATGATTAATGTCTCTGATGAGCCAACAGAGGGCTCCAGAGATCCAACATAGAATACTAAACAAAAAATACTCAAATAAAAAGTTTAAAAACAAAAGTTTTGTATTTTGTTTGATCATAATTAAAGAACACATAATGAAAAATAATTCCTATAGGCTAACCATTTTATGTCATTCTTGGGTCATATGTCTTATGCAAATATGATACATTTTGAACCTGGACGAGGTGAAGCTAATCTTAGTTCATCCATCCTCCTCATCACCATCATCAGGATCATCATCATGAACCCGCATTGAAGCTTCGAAAATCATTGGGGTTCGCCCTCATTTACAATACTGGGAAGTCACAGCTATGAGGAAAAGTTCATTTAGGTAAAACACTTCCTTCCACGGCCTAAAGGGGGCGCTATATCTCTTCAGTTGAAAGAACATCATGGGGTATCTGCAGAGAGCAGAGTAGCAAACAAGCTGCAAACTGTAATATACAGGTATCACATTTATAAAGTCTTATTCTGTTTGCCACAGTTTCCATGAAAGCATTGTGGAAACATATAGTAGCCCACATGTTTGGTTCTGGCAGCTTGTAATAAATATGAATGTAAACATTAACACTAAAGGCATTAAGAGAAAAATACTCCTGTACAAAGGACTAGTGATGAAATGGACCAACTTTTTTTGTACCAGTTTATCTACTAATACAAAAACTTTGGGTATATTTCAAAACAGCACACCAATTATACACATGTTCTCTCTTTTCCCATAATTCAAACATTGTGCACATCATTTTTATGTAAGCTAGCTTGAGGCCAGGCAATGTTTTAACAAATTAAATAATAAATAGTGAGCAGCTCACCATTTAATGGAGGAAACAGTGATGAAAGGACATAGAAGCTATGTCATGTAATGTGTAATAGTGTTGCCCATAGTGTTATAATATCAATATTGAAGCATATTAACAAACAAATATGCCCAGTAATCGGGCTCCTTAAATAACTGGATTATGTTATTCTTTAGTAGTTAGCGCCACCATGTGGTTATCTCATGTAGCAGAATAAACTCACCAATAAAATCATATTGTTGTTTTCATAGAATAAATATAGAAAAATCTTCCCACATTTTAGATAGATGTCCCACTTCTCTGACAGGAATGTGAGCCAGGCTGGAGCCTCTTACTGAAAGCTGATTGTTGTTATGGAGCCACATGATTGAAACGCATGGTGACAATTTCAAGCTTTTACACCCCTTATCTGCAGACTCTGAGACTCACAGCCAGTCAGAAGAAAACTTTAGAGCAGATATGGAAAGGTACAACCAACACTTTAAAAAATATCTAGATTTCTTGATCAATTTCTAAACTGTGGGAAAAATTCTTTCAGACAAAATGCTACATGGATCCTGGTTCTCCTGTCCCTGGTCGTCTTAGGTGTGGCTGTGACCACCGACCCTTTGACAGATTTGGGTAGGTCATCAATCATATTGTGTTTATTCTATTCATGCAGCTGTCACAGCTTCATGGATGTCTTTTATTCTGAGCAGAAAATATTGCTGGGAAGCTGGTTTTCTATCAGATGGAAGGAAACGCCACCTATGTGAGGAACACAGGAGAGCTGGCTTCAGATGTTCCCACTGAGACCATGTTTGAACTCTTCGATCCACAGATGAATTTCAGCACAGCAAAGTTCACCTATACCTGGGACCTAGGGAACGGGTATGAGGACTTTTAATATTTCAAAAAATAAATGGAATTTTTAGGCGGCTTTCTTTCCTTTTAAAAAAAAAACTATGTCTGTGTCTGTGATATAGAGAGGTGATCAAAGGAACTGAGCCGGTGGTGCGATATAATTACCCTGAGTCTGGAAACTACACACTGCGGCTGAAAGTGGGAGCGAATTTAACCAAATCTGCACCTCAAATCACTGACGTTTACTCCATGGATGTACAAGTACTTGGTTTGTAGTTTAATATTTTCCATAGGAAACTATTAGCTGTAAGATGAGTCAAGATGTTTCAATGCTTCCAATTGTTTTCATTCAAAAGTTCCATTATGTATATCTGCAAAACAAATTAATCAGAATAAATATATAGAAGAATGGGGCAAGTCACTATTATAGTGTTTTTTTGGATATTAAAGACCAAAATCCCTAAAAGCTCATGTTCTAATTCTAATGCATTTCAATGTCTGTCAGAAGTTGTTAAGCACCATATTCAATGTCAAAAATCAAAGAAAAGAGAATGTAAGTTGTTGTATTATTGTGTATAAGTGTTTAAAGGAGTAATTATTGAAATGATTTTGTAGATGCCATTAGAAACATCGAGCTGAAGGGCCCTTCTGATTACGAGGTGTCTCAGAACACCAGCTTGGCAGTTCATGTGGATGGAAGGTAGGATATATCTTTTTAATTTTTTCTACTTTTTGTTAATTCCATTTAAAGCAAGTTATTTTGACTGAAGAAAAGCAGAGGTGCCCCCCCCCCCCCCGAGTCTAGGACGGCTCTACATGTTCAACATAAGAATTAATTTTGTTTTGGAGTGAAACACACAATAAATACAATGTTACACAGTGACAGCTGTGAAAAGTTAAATGCAAAACACAATCAAAATTAAACCTCCCCTGAAATCCAGTTAAATTGGACTTGTGTGGTGTTTTTCCCATTAATCTGTATTGAAAAGTTTGATTTTATGACATTTGTTTAGCAACCCAAACATAATCATCCTTGTACAAATTACTGCATGAATATGAATGTGTATTTGTGTGTATCTAGTCCTCCCATGTGGGTGTGCTGGCGTTTCCTGCCAAACTGTGACCCTGACATGTCGGGTGGCTGCACGCTGACCATGCTGTATGAAAACACTTTGAGACTAAACCACACCTTCACCTCGGTCGGTGTCCACTGTCTGGACATCAGCGTACGCAATGACATCAGCAAGCTGCAGACCTCCTTCAGCATCTACGTCAAGAGAAGCTGTGAGGATACACGCACACACACACACACACACACACACACACACACACTACCGAGCCCCTGAAGTCCTGGAAAGTTTAAAGAAAAATCTTGTGTGCACAAAATAATTTGGAGGTTTGCCAAGATATTGTGTTGTGCACACAAGTTAGATGAGGGAACAAGATAATTATCTTTGGCGCGCAAGTTGTTATCTTTTCCGCTATCGTCAAACTTCTCTTGAGCGCACAAGATATTAACTTAACTTATTTTTTTTTTTACTTGTTGGGAATTCAGGGCTCCATACAAATCTCAGTTTGCTAAAATAAACATATTATGACTTGGTTGGTTTTAGTTAATGTTCTATTTTCTTATCTTTTTTAAATATGTGGAATTTAGTTAAATTGATACTGTTTATATTTATTTAATTAAATTCCTTTATGTCCTTTTATCAATTAAGCTGCTAATTTGTAAATTGGGCTATAAATTTGATAACAATATATATTTTTTTTATCACCCAAGGAACTAATCTCTATTAATATTATAAATATAAAATGTGAAAAAAATATTTTTTTGGTCCAGTGAATGAATGAAAAAAACGAGTCTTCATCAGGAAATGATGGAAATTAACTAGTTAGCTAAATATAGTACAAAGCATCTCTTCTCTTCTGAGACTAATGTTTTTGTGTGTACACTGTCCCTGATTCAAATAAACCAATAAACTAAATCATGACTCATCAGTTTGCTATAGTGTACGCATGCCAATAATGAGCTACTTTAGTAGTTTTCTTTCCTCAAAAGATTCTATCCCTGGGTGGAAAGGCGGCTCTGGGTGTTTCAGATCTAAATCTTAACATTTCCTTTAAGCTGCATTAGTTCCACAGACAGAGAGGAGGCGGCAAAAATTAGAGAATCAAGGCTCAGCACATGACTGCTGTGTTGAATCAGTTTGATACTGTAATGTTCAAACTGAAGGTAAACTGCTTTTAGTGTCAGCTGGTTTGCATTTATTTCCCCTGAAAGTTTGGAAATTTTGTCTTTGTTGTAGACTTTGTCCTCTGCTGCTTAATTTTTTCACGTCTTTCAAGTTTCAAAAAAGGCCTATAAATGCTTCTCCATTGCTTCGCTCCAAGCATGAACAAAGAAATCAACTTACTGAATAATTCTAATTGAAGTACTTTAGTAAATTAACAGAACTTATAAATAGAGCATGTTGTTAAACTGTGAACTTCTTTTCAAAAGTTAACACTCACAAGAAAAATGTTTTTCTCTGTATTTCTTGCAGCTAGCACCCATCTGTTCTTCATCCTGGCATGTGCTGCCATACTTGTTGCAACGTTTTCCTTCATCACTGTCATCGTCTGTCGCCCTCGTCATCAAAACAAATCACAGGTACAGATATTTTATTTCTTATTCCAATATCTTATTTTTAATTCAGTGTAAATCCTTATTAGACAGGTTTTAATAGGGTGAGAAGACGTGACAGCTAAGATCTGATTGGAGCACATGAACCTGAATTAAATATCACATTTAATTTCATTTTCATGTCCTCTTATACAAACCATCAAACTTGGACAATGTGTACACCTACAGAAATAAAAAGGGCAAAGAGATCAAACAGCTGCTTTAACATAAAAAAAAGTGGAGGAAAACTTAAAACCAAAAAACATTGGTATAAATAATCCAGGTCCAAGCACTCAGAATGGTTGGAACTATATAAAAGGCCTTTAATTCATTGGGCTACAAACATTAAAATAAGTTTTCCCTTCCATGACTACTGGTGGTTTGAGCGATACCAGAAGCACTCCTGTTGTCTCTCTTTTTCAGAAGCTTTAACATTTGGTGGTTAATTATCTGGGTGGCTATGGGTCTGCGGTAGGGTGGATTGCCCTCCTATTGGAAGCTTGGCAATTTGATCCAGACCCTCTAGCCTACATATTAAAGTATCCTTGGACAAGAAACAGAACCCCAAATGGCTCTGAAAGACACAGTCTGCATTGTATGAACATGTGTGTGAGTTAAAGGTTGTACAGTATCCTTGGATGGCAGTACGTTAGTGATTGTGTGTTAAAGGGAGAATGCTTTTTTTAATGCTTTGGAGAAGTTTTGAAGCACCTTGAGTGGTCAGGAGTATAGACGGCCACTATATAAGTGAAGTCCATTTATTGTTTAACTCATGTTGTTTGTTGTTAAACTATATGTAAAAAATCTAAACTTGCCTTAAGAGCCAGTTATCACACTTTAATACTGTTTGTGATCACAAGGAGGCAGTCTGTGACTAGAATCAAATAATTCTTGTGCATCTGGAGTGATTGAGTGAGTAGAGTGTATCTCTACATTACAATAATATTATGTTGATTAGAAAATTACAAAAAAAAAGTATTTCCTGACCTTTATTTGCCAGAGATAAAATGGTATTTTATGGGGATTCATGAAACGTGGATTCTTTTGTCTAAACATTTGTAATATTTTTTTCTATTTCTATTGTGATTCAAAAGTCTGGCTCTGTGTTTAATTTTTGCAGATTGCTGTCTCCAGTAATGCCTTATTCCTGAAAAACCAAGAATCCGAGGGTCAAAGCACAATTCTTTTTAAATTCTCCAACGAGAAGAATGAAGAAAAGGAGCCTCTCCTGATGCAATATGGGACTCAATACTCCTCTTAAGAGTCAGTCTTCAGCATGATGTGGCTGCATGTTAATCATGTAGGTATTTTGCAAAGGAAAATATACAATTATAGTGATAAAATTATCATCTCACATTCTGACACATTATAAATAAATTTAGACACAAATGGATGATTTCTGCACAACGCATAGCCTTACATGTCATTTGAAATGTAAGTACTCCAGTAGAGTTGGATATATTAAGCTCTAATTGTGTCACTAATGTTCAGTGAGCTGGAACGAGAAACACCTTGAGATTTTCTAGAAACTAGATGATGGCAATCAATAAATGTGTCAGAGAGGAAAGTCTGACATTCAAATGTTCTCATAATAAAGCGCAGCTCATGTTTAAACAATGACTGTCTATTAAACAAGCTGTGAATCGATGTGGTCACAATCATTAATTTAATGTTTTTATATTGATGTTGAAATGTGAGCCTTTGCTTCAAAGCTTAGAAGATGATTAGATGTGTTTCTTTTTTATTTTGTTGTCAGTTCTGATGATAAATTCATATTTGTTGTAGATGCCTGTTCAAACATTCTTTTATTTTAAAATGAACATATATGTAGTGGAGGTGTAACTCAAAATATAAAGTTATTGAACGATAGTTAGAAAATCATTTTAAGCCTAAAGAAGATGATTGAACGATAACAAATACTATCATATCTAGCTGTCTGATCAAGTCACTACTAAGGGTTAACTTTCTGTTGTTGTCTTTGAGTGAGTTTGATGAGTTTGTAAGTGAGCCAATCGGTGAACTCTATTAGCCCATGAGCCGGCCAATCCAAGTACCAACGCCTTATTTGCTGCATATTTTCCTACAAAAATGAAATCATAGGATGTGTTTAATATGTAGCCAAACCCCCTTATATTCATATGTCATGTGTCATCATTTCTACATACCTCACTGAAATCACAGTGAGGTATGTAGTTCATGTAAAGATAGCAAAGATAAAACCTATATCTCTTAAGATGCTTTTCAGAATATAGAAGACCACCAGTCACTATGGCTCAAAGCATCAGCATATAGCTCTTTATAGGTGCTCATACTGATTTATATATTTTCATAAGCAACTCATGCATGTCTCAGTATTTTGCTGTCTTTATTTTTTTTTATTGGATTTTGTCGTAGCTGTCCTGACCTTGTCTGTATGTATTTTTTGTCATGTATGTATGTATGTATGTATTTTTTGTCATATGTCCCCAGTTTGTCACGCTATTGCACCTAATAATAAAAAATAAAAGAATACTTACCTGTGCTTCCGAGTGACTCACAGTGTTTGCCTAGTGACTCCTTGTTTCCCTTTTCGGATTTTGAAGGTTTTTTTTTTTTTTTTTTTTAAATATTTTACTTCCATCTGCAATTGGGTCCAGTTCCTTGTTTTCCACTTCATGACAGTTTCTTGCCCATGTGTGCAAGGCTTAGTCCTGCCTTGTTGCTGTTCTGCCTTCATGGGCAAACTTTTAAGATGTGCAAGGACCTTTTTATTCCATTTGAACTACTGTAGCTTTTTCTTGAAAATTCAGCATATGTCCACAAAACACAGGACCCTGCTTAAGATGGAAATGTTTCCCCGTAAGTGAGTTAATATTGTGACACTGTCATAGACATGCGATGGACTTTTTTTTACATTTCAGAATGATGGTTGTTGTCTTACATTATGACTTGTGACATTTTGATGTAAATCTGACTTTCTATCTCAATTACTTTTTTTATCACACTATTTTGACTTTGGCCTTTCTCATTTGGCCAACATGACTTTTTATCTCGTAATTTGAACTTTCTTTAGGCCGACCATGTTAGGTTTTCCCATTGTCTATTCCCTATTGTGTCTTAGTTTCAATCTACTGCTTACATGCACTTTCCTAATATCATGTCCCAAAGCTGGATCCTCTCCTTAAACCACATGATATTTACACATGTATCCTTTATTTGCCATGTAAACATGTAATTGATCATCTTCTCCATTATTGTGCACATTTTAATGCAATTGGTCTGTAATGTCCTGGACTTGTACAATCTTTTTCTTGTAAATTAGAGCTATGACAGGGGATATTTGTTACAGAAGTTTATTTGTTTTGAACACAAAGATCATCTTTGTGTGTGTTGGAAAGAAACTAGGATTAATACACAAGTAATCATTTCTTTGACTTTGTTGTTAAAAAGAGTTCCTGAAGATTGAATAGACCTTCTTTTTTCTGCAGCAAATATTCTCAACATGTCATTAAAAACACTTTGTTTCATTGCATTGGATCCAAAGATTTAAGGATGTTATAAACGACCTGTGTCTTTAAGTGTGTTATATGTTACATGAAAAGTTGTCAGGTCTCAGTTTGATTTGAAACAGTTTGTGAAACATTATCCTGAAGAATGTAAACTTTCATCAAGTCAAAGATCATTTGTATAACACCCTGGTAATTAAAGTGCAGGGATTTCTCATTATATGGAGAGCATTTTTACAATAGCTCAAATGAATTGTCATTATTAAAAATGTTGTATTGAAGGAGCAGTGCTGAAAGACAAAATAAATTTGTGACTCTGGTGTGACGAGCCCTCCACACCGGTGTTATTTTGGTAGAGCTCGTCTTCGGCTCCTGTTTTTGTTGCAGCCTCAGAGCCGGGTTGTAACACTGGAAAGAGTTTCTTCTTTCTTCCATGTTTTGATATCGTTTGACACAATTACTCTCCACTGTGGATCTTTCTCCAAAAGAAAATATAAATGTCAAAAAACAGATATTTAGTCAAATATGTACTTGAAATTGGAAATTTGATCAACTCCTCTGTTGGATTTCAGGATTGCATCATATTGGGTATGATAACAGCAGCAAAACATAAACTTCAAATTAAATAATTCAGAGTCGGGATATTAAACATGTTTGAGAAAACCTGTTTTTTCCTTAATAAGGAGATATTATTAAGGATATATAAATTGCCCATACATCAAAATAAAGAGAAAATACCAACAGTTGACAGAAGACATTATTCATGGATCTATATTTATTCAGATTTGAATTGCAAACTCTGTTTTTGCAGCTGATTCTAAATGTTGTGCCGACCTCTTGTTGTCTCCAAACTCATCTGTCTCTTCTTTAAATGGACTCCTCTGTTTGCTTTGAGGTCTCAGCTGAAACAAACAAACAATAAAATGGTTTAGTGGACATACATCACAAATCAAATGAAGTTCATCTAATGTCAGAGAAATGTTCCTCAAAGTGAGCCATGTTTTCTTATGAATATATTCAGAGCTGTTTTCATGAAGTTACCGTTGACACTTCACGTCTCTCGTCTTTTCTTCTTCTCTCTCGTTGTCGGTCTGTTCATTCAGCCTCATCCTGTCTGTGTCCTCTGTGCTGCTTCCTGTCTCCTCTGTTCTGTTGTTCACGGCTCTTCTTTAGATTTCACCTCCTGTTCCTAAAGAAAAAAAACAAACAAAAAAAGAATCAAAAAGGATTCCATGCTGAAAACAAACATTGTGTAGGAATCAAACTCACCTTTTTTAGATCCCACCTGTCCGCTGAGGGAATGAATCAGAGACGCTGGGACATTCAATGAACCAAAAAGTTCATTTTGATGAAACAAAATGTAGCTCACATCACATGACCTGATATGTGACATCATTAATCATCACATCAGATCAGATCAGATCACATGACGAGACAACATGTTACAACAGAACGTAACACACAAAGACACAACAAGACACAACACTGCACAACAAACAAGACAACACATGACATGAATAACACCACATAACACATAAACACAATATAATATAGAAACATAATATCTGAAAAAAATCAAACAACAACACAACAAAATACAAGACAACACATGACATGAATAACACCACAAAACATATTTACACAATAAAACAACATCATGTGAAAAAACATCAAATCTGAAAAGATCACAACATCACATTAATATCCCCTGACTATGTTTTCAAGTTTCCAGTTTTCTATTGTTAAGGTTTTAAGAGCCAGAGTTTACTGTATTTGGATGAGAGGAGGAGTCGAAGAGGAGCAAGAGGTTACCAACAGAAACGTATCAAAAAGTTAGCAGACAGTCTTAGTTGTTAGTTGATGAGCTGGTGAGGGAGCTTTCTGACAGAATAAGTCGACAACAAACCTGAATTACAAACAAGAGCTGCAACAATAAATGACAAACACTAAACAAGATTCAGTCTGGATAAATAGCTAGTAAGCACAATGTTCATGACATTAATGTAGTATGAGACTGAAGCTATCTAAGATACAAGAGTTCATAAAACAGAAGACTTGCCCCTTACCCACATTCATTTCAAAGGTTAGAGCAGCAGGAGAATGGCAGGTACCAGGAACTAAAAGTAACAGGTTTCTCATCACACCATCCTGATAACCATGAGCCATTACAATTCAAACAATGTAACAAGCCAGGTACATTTAGATTATGTTTCTATCATACTTCATATTCAGGTTTTTGTTTAATTTCAAGTTATTTCTGATGTGACCATATTTGGACATGAGGAGGAGGAGCTTGAGAGGAGCAGGAAGTTAGCAAATGTCAAGTTATCAGACCAAAAGTCCTTACTTATCAATTCATAAGCTGCTAAAACAGCTAGTTTCCAGAATGAGTTTCTGCATTAAGTGATAGAAGGTGATAACATCACAAACACATCACAACAATAGACTGTAACATTGACGTAAACACTGTGATATAACCCTCGCTTTTGTTGCCTTTTGGAAGCGTTTGTTACCTGGAGCCACAGGTGACTTGAGGAGAGGGTGGAGCTGAGGAGGAGTGCTACATGAGAACAACTTTGTGCAGGAGATGTTCAATATAATGCTATTATAGAACTCAACGAGTAATAGAACTCATTATTTTGTTGCCATGTCAAAGCCTTTCGTTACCTGGAGACGGAGGTGACCATGTTTGAATACGACGGTGGAGCTGAAGAGGAGCGAAGCGCTGGCAAAAGCCAAGTTGCACGACCAAACAATGTAACAGTGATCAAACACA